CAGAAATATATTCCCCTCTAAAATATTGAGTATGAAATGATGTATGTTTCCAAAGGAGTAGAGTAAGTAAAAATGGCAACTTGCCTTTGTGCTTTTTGAGGCATTTATATGGAGGACTCTAGAGGTTGTTTTTTTTTCTTTTTTTGGCTAGGCAATGGGGTTAAGTGACTTTCCCAGGGTCACATAGCTAGTAAGTGTCAAGTGTCTAAGGTCAGATTTGAACTCAGTTCCTCCTGAGTCCAGGGCCTGTGCTGTATCTACTGTGTCACCTACGTGCCCCCTTTTATAGTTTGTTTTGACAGATTAAAAGGATGAAAGAAGACACATTTGAAAAGGAATATGCAAGTGCCCCTTTGCAGTGTTGTTTGGAAATGGGTGGTCCAGATATAGAGTGAAATATATAAGGGTGTGTGTAGGATCTTGAGGATAGAGTCAAGTTGAGAGAGGATGTAGGGAGTGAAATGTGAAAAGTATGAGATGTGAGAAAAGTGCATATTACTTCCTGTACACCATTCTGCTGATGGGCTAGGAGTCAAGGAAGACCTGAGTCCAAATCCAGCCTTAGATACTACCTGTGTGACTTTGATTTGAGCAAGTCACTTCACTTCTATTTGTTTCCGTTTCCTCAACTGTAAAACAAGCATAAGAACTGCACCTACCTCCCAGGTTACTGTAAGGATCAAATGAGACATTTATAAAACAGCCCTTAGCCCAGTGCCTGACACATAGTCGGTGCCTTATAAATGCTAGCTATAGATGATGATGATGATGATGATGATGATGATTGATGACCCTCTTCTACTATTGCTCACCGATAGCATGTGTCATGGGGCACAGGAGTAGGGGCAAGTTTCAGCAACTGCTAAAAGGTGAAAAGGTGTGACCAGTTGGGAGTCTGCTCATCGTTGAATAGAAGGCACTCCTCCTCTTCCCAGAGGCAGGGGAGATCAGGAGACAAGCACAGCATGGAAGAGATGGGAGGCATGAGGTAAGCTGGGAAGCCCTGCTTCCCTCCTCTTCCGAATGAAGCTTGGAGATTAGGCAGGAGGGGGTGCAGCAGGAGACGGAAGTGGACCCTGCCCAGCAGATGAGCAGGTGTGAGGGTGCTCATCACAGAATGGAAGGTGCCACTGCTTTTCTCAGAGGAGCCTGGACTCTGGGCTGGAGACAGGTGGTGGAGGAGAGGGAATGCCCATGGTCATATGGTCAGATGGGCAGCGCTCTTTCTGATGACAGCTCAGCTGACACGGAGGGAAATTCTGGTTTGAGAGGCAGAGGACCCGCCTTTAAGTCCTCCGCCGACTTTTACCACTGGTCTGACCATGAGTAGATCGCTTCACTTCTCTCGGGGTCATAGTTTCCTCATCTCTAAACTGAGGGAGTTGGACACAATCCCCACAAAGAGTCCTGCTAGCTCTAAATAATTTGATTTCAGACTAATTTCATAATATCAAAGGCATCATCTGTTTCTTCTTCCTATCCCTATTTCTCTGTCATCCTCTTGAAGTTTGTTTTTCTTTGACAGTTACTTCCTCTTCATTGACCTACCCACCAAAACTCTGAGATCATATGTCTTTGTAGGATCCTAGGGCAAGGAAAATTCTGGAGGGCTTACCTCATTTGTCTCTGTATTTTCAGGCAGAAACATTTTGAAGTCAGCCAGCACATGGGTGAGAATTTAGTTTTTGCAAGAGGCACTGAGACAAAGATCCCTTCATCCTAACCCAGTTGGGTTTTTAGGAAAGAGGAGAAATGTATTGGAGTACTGTAGGAAGAGTCAACAGATGTGACCCCTGTGCTGCCACTGAACCTCGCTGTGACGTTGGGGAATCATTGCCCTTCCCTGAGCTTCGGTCGACATAAAAAGAGAGAATCAGAACGCTTACTCGTGACTTGTGGTCAGACAGTGTTGCTGGTCTGACCCACCAGCCTTCTCAGTCTTACTTTTCTTTGCTGGGCAGTGGTCCCTGTGTACAACCCCTCATCTCTGAGCTTTGCTTTTGCACAGGCATGGAATTTGCCCCATGCATGGAAGGCACTCTGTCCCTCCTCACCCCTGGGAATTCCTCACCTCCTCCAGAGCTCAGTTCCAGCAACATCTTTTATATGAGGCCTCTCATTTGCCCCCCCGCTGTTAGTCCCTCTCTTGTCCATTACTTTGATTTGTTTTACACTTCCTCATACATGTACATGTTTTCCCTATAGAATGTAAGCTTCTTACAGTCTGTAGAATAGGGCAGAGATGGTTTCATTTTTCTGTTTGTATCCTCAATACCTAGCATAGGATCTACCCAGAGAGGTGCTTAATAAATGTTTATTGCACTTACTGGCTGCTGAACACTGAACTGGGCCCTGGATGAAATACACAGTTAGATAAGGCACAGCCAGGCTGTGCTTTCATGGAGCACACAGTCTCATGAACTGAAATGCTAACTTTTGCTTTTCCAATGATGAACTGCATTTGTATAGCACTTGACATAATTCATAAGTTCCTTTTAGACATATTTTCATTATACTCTTAAATGGTAATTTTTAGTGTTTTGAAATTTTTCTGGTGAGGACTCTGTCTGCCTAGGTCTAACCAGAGGTGGGGAACCTGCAGCCTCAAGGCCAGATGTGGCCCTCTAGGTCCTGAAGTGCAGCCCTTTGACTGAATCTAAACTTCACAGAACCAATCCTTTTAGTAAGTTTGGATTCGGTCAAAGGGCTAACTTGAGGACCTGAAGGGCCACGTGTGGCCTTGAGATTGCAGTTTCCCAACCCCTGGAAGAAAGCCGTTACCAAGGTCTTAGACATGTGATAGAGAGGAAAGAGCACCAGCTTTGGAGTCAGAGACCTCAGGTTCAAACCCTACCTATAATGCTTACTATTGGTGTGACACTGGGCTAAGGCACCGAAGTTCCCTGAACCTCAGTGAGGGTGTTGGACGAAATGCCTGCTGAGGTGCCTTCCAGCTGTGATCCTGTGATTGAAGCAGCAGAGCTGGGCAATCTCAGCTCCTGGGGTTACACATCCAGTGTCCTTTTCACTGCACTGCATTGATGACCTTGGGTTTATCCACTTTAAATCTTACAGAGCACTTTCTCAAAACCCTGTGAAGTAATACTATTATACCCATTTCCCAGAGGAAGAAATTGAAACTGAGAGATCAGATGTCTTGCCTAAAGCTAGGGAAGGGAAGGGAAGGGAAGCCCTAAGCTAGTAATGATGTTTATGTCTTCAGTAAACAGTGTTTTGATGGTAGACAGACTTTGAAGCTCAAAGTTATTATTGCCACTTGTTTACAATCATGAGTTTCTATAATCATGGACCAACCATCTGAATTCTTTGTCAGGCTGAGTGATGTTGGAGCAGTTTCCTGCTGTTAGTGTGGACTTTATTGAGGGGGGCATCTGGTGTAACTGAAAGAGGGCTGTACTTGGAATGAGCAAGTGTGGGTCCTTACTCATCTATTGCTAGAACTATGTGGAATAATCTAATCCTTCTTCTCCATAAGAGCCCTTCCAACATCTGAATACATCTTTTCTTTTAAGAACCCACATAGGTCCCAGATCCTGAAGTTTTGGAAACAATCTCCCCACTGCTGAATTTTTCTTTTTTCTTTTTTTCTTTTTCAGCAATTGGGATTAAGTGACTTGCCCAGGGTCACACAGCTAATAAGTGTCAAGTGTTTGGTCTGAGGGCAAATTTGAACTCAGGTCCTCCCTACTTCAGGGCTGGTGTGCTTTCCACTGCGCCACCTAGCTGCCCCTCTGAATTTTTCATAGTACTTCATATACGCATCTTCTTTCCACTCATTCTTATTTGTATTATAGTTATCTGTATATATGTCATATCTCCTCTGATTATAAACTCCTAGAATTCGGCATTTTATCTTTGTATCTCCTGCTTCTTGGAGAGAACCTTGAACATACTTGGTGCCCAACAAATGTTGAAATGGATTCATTCATTCCCCATTTTACACTCTAGGAAATAGATTTTTAGGTGACTTGACCAAGGTCACTCATAAGTTAGTGTTAAAACCAGGATTCAAAATCTGGTTTTCTGTCTTAAAATGCAATGCTCTTTTCATGAGAACACCTGTCACATTAAAGTAGAAGGGACCTTCTGTGGAGTAGAGAGTTAGACTAGATGAACATTTAAATTCCATCCAACTCTAAATTGTGTTATTGTATTGTTTTATGAATATATTTTTTGATCACTTATCAGTCTGAAATTCTTTGATTCTAATAACTAGCTCCTAATGCCTAACTATAGTGTTAATATTTTAGTCTTTTTCCAATATGTTAAATATGAAACTTTATAGGATATTAGCTTATCAATGTCCCTTTTGAAATGATACTAAGGCAGCAAAGTGGCAAAGTGGATACAGCTCTGGACCTGGAGTCAGGAAGACTTACCTTCCTGAGTTCAAATCCAGCCTCAGCCACTTACTGGCTCTGTGACCCTGGGCAAGTCACTTAACCCTGTTTGCCTCAGTTTCCTCATCTGGAAAATTAACTGGAGAAGGAAATGACAAACCACTTTAGTATCTCTGTCAAGAAAACCCCAAATGGGGTCACAATGAATCAGATATGACTGAACAACAACAAAAATGAACTTATATTGCCCTTGAAGGTTTATAAAGAGGCTTTCATGTATCATATTATATAAATAATTTATGTTTTGTTCCTTTGCATGAAATATACCTGAAAGAAGGGACCTGAATAAGATGGAGAGCATGCAGAGAGCGGTAGCCAAGATGGCTTTTAGCTCATGTTCTATGAGGTTTGCTTAAGGGAAATGGATAATATTTAGACCACAGAACACAAGACTTAGGGGAACAGGCTAACTTGTCTTCAGATATTTAAAGAGTTAGAAGAAGGAATTTTTGTCCAAATAATTTTGCCCCCCCAAAAAAATCCAGTGTTTTTCTGTGTGTATTAGGGATCTAGGCCTGTAGCTTATGTCCCTTGACTGCCCAGAACCCTGGGACATGGTTAAATTGCCACTCCTCTTACCTCAATTCTTCTCATATTATACCATCTTGTTATATGATCTGCTTTGTGATCTGGGAATTGGACAAAATCCTTTTGGCAGGTGCTCTGGAAACTTAGTTTTGAAGTTTGGGTGAACTGAAAGAGACCAGAACATTTGTTCAGAATCTGTGATCTCCTTCCTCTGACACTTCCTTGTGACAAACACCAAAAGCTGCCATGATAGCGGGCATCCTGTGGCATGCCCAGAATCCAGGTTGCATCCTGCTCTTCTATTAGTGTTATAAATTGATGTAAATCAGGAGGTCCAAGGACACATAAAACACAAAGCAGAAGATGCTAACATTTGACCAGGTTTCACCGTCTGTTCTTTTTCTTTCTTCTCCTCTCTTCTTTTTTAAAAAACATAAAACAAACAAAAAAAACCCCCTCCTTTCTTTTTAAAAAATTTAAATAGTATTTTATTCCCCCCCAATTACATATCAATAAAATTTTTAGCATTCATTTTTACACAATTTTGAGTTCTGAATTTTTCTCCCTCCCTCCCCTCCCCTTTTCTGAAAATAGTAGGCAGGTTAATGTAGTTTATATATGTGCTATCATGTAAAACATATTTCAATGTTTGTCACAGTTGTGGAAGAAGAAACAGATCACAAGCAAATAAAACCATGAGAAAGAATAAAGTAAGTGAAAAAAATATGCTTCTGTCTGCATTCTGAGTCCATCAGCTCTTCATCTGGATGTGGATGGCCTTTTCCTTGATGAGTCCTTTGTGCTTGTCTTGGATTGTTGTGTTGCTGGGAAGAGCTGAGTCTTTCATAGCTGATCATCACAAGATGTTGCAGAGACTGTGTACAATGTTTTCTGGATTCTTCTTATTTCACTTTGCCTCAGTTTGTACAAGTCTCTCAAGATTTTTCTGAAATCTGTCTGTTCATTATTTCTTCTTGCACAGTTGTAATCATTCATATACCACAGCTTGTTCAGCCATTCCCCAACTGATGGACATTCCCTCATTTTCCACTATTTTGCCACTATGAAAAGGGCTGCTATAAATATTTTTGCACAGGTATCTCCTTTTCCCTTTTTTATGATCTCTTTGGGATATAGACCTAGTAGTGGTATTACTGGATCAAAGGGTATGTGCAGTTTGGTTGCCCAAATTGCTCTCCAGAGTGGTTGGATCAGTTCACACCTCCTCCTACAGTGCATTAGTGTCCCAATTTTCTCACATCTTCTCCAACATTTATCTTGTTCATTTTTTGTCGTATTAGCCAATCTTATTGATGTGAGGTGGTACCTCAGAGATTTAATTTGCATTTCTCTAATCAAAAGTGATTTAGAGCCCTTCTTCATATGCCTAAGATAGCTTTGATTTCTTTATCTGAAAATTTCCTGTTCATATCCTTTGACCATTTATCAATTGGGGAATGACTTGTATTCTCATAAGTTTGACTTAATCCTCTATATATTTGAGAAAGGAGGCCTTTATCAGAGACACTTGCTGTAAAGATTGTTTCCCCAGTTTTCTACTTTCCTTAGTTGCATTGGTTTTGTTTGTACAAAAACTTTTCAATTTAATATGATCAAAGTTATTTATTCTGCATTTCATAATACTCTCGGTCTCTTTTTTAGTTATGAATTCTTTCCCTCCCCATAGATCTGACAGGTAGACTGTTCCTTGCTCCTCTAATTTGATTGCTTCATTGTCTGTGGTACCTTTAGCAAGATGTAGTTGCCTTCTTTATCTCCTTTAATTAGGTCTGTTTTTGCTTTTATTTTATCTAAGATCGGGATTGCTACCCCTGATCTTTTTTTTAACTTCAACTGAAGCACAATAGATTCTGCTCCAGCCCCTTACCTTCACTCTGTGTGTGTGTCTCTCTGCTTCAAGTGTGTTGCTTGTAAACAACATGTTGTAGGATTCTGGTTTTTTAGCTACTCTGGTATCCACTTCTATTTAATGGAAGAGTTCATCCCATCCACATTCATGTTTATGCTTGTTACCTGTGTGTTTCTCTCTATTCTATTCTTCCTGCTGTTTATCTTCTCTCTCCTTTCACCCTTTCCAATCTCACCAGTGTTTTGCTTCTGTCTACCACTTCCCCTCATCTGCCCTTCCATATGTCAGTCTCCCCTCCTCTCCCCGACACTTTACTTATTCCCCTCCAATTTTTTGTGGGGTAAGATAGATTTCTATATTCAACAGATTGTGTTGATGAGAGTAAAGTTCAAGCAGTGCCCATTGTCCACCCTCAAATCTTCCCCTCCACTATAAAAAGTTTTTCTTGCCTCTTCATGTGAGGTAATTTGCCCAATTCTACCTCTCCCTTCTGCATCTTTTGTATTCCTCTTTTTCATCTCTCAATTTTTTTGTCATTCCTTCAAATTCACCTGATACCTGTATCGTCTGTCTATGTATACTCATCATAGCTGTACTGTTAGATATAAAATTTTCAAGAATTACAAGTATTATTTTATTGTGTAGGAATGTAAACAGTTTAGTTCTATTGAATCCCCTATGTTTTCTTTTCCCTTTTTACCTGTTTTTATGCTTCTTTTGGGTCTTGATATTGGAGGTCAAATTTTTGTTTAGTTCTGGTTTTCTCTTTGTTTAGTTCTGTTTTTCTCCTTATGAAAGCTTGAAATCCTTCTTTTTCATTGAATGACCATTTTTTCCCTTGACGCATTATGCTTAATTTTCTGGGTAAGTGATTCTTTATTGTAGTCTTAGCTTCTTTGCCTTCTGGAATATCATGTTCCATGACTTCTGATCCTTTAATGTCATAGCTGCCAGGTCCTGTGTGATCCTGATTGTGACTTCCCAATATTTGAGTTGTTGTTTTTATTTTTCTGGACACATGTAATATTTTTTCCTTGCCCTGATAGTTCTGAAATTTGGCTATAATTTTCTTTTGGGTTGTCTTTCCTGAGGTGATTGGTGGATTCTTTCAATGCCTATTTTGCCCTCTGGTTCCAGGACATCAAGGCAGTTTTCCTTGGTAATTTCTTGAAAGATGCTGTCCAAGACTTTTTTTGTTTGTTTGTTTTTTACTATGGCTTTCAGTTAGTCCAATGATTCTGATGTTATCCCTCCTGGATCTATTTTCCAGATCACTTTTTCCCCATGACATATTTTGCATTTTCTTCAATTTTTTCATTCTTTTGAATTTGACTGATTCTTAGGGTTTTGTAGAGTCATTAGCTTCCGCTTACTGAATTCTGACTTTGAAAGTGTTGTTTTCCTCAATTAGCTTTTGTGTCTTTCTTTCCCATTTGTGCAGTTCTATTTTTTAAGGAGCTGTTTTCTTCAGTGGATTTTTGTATCCCCTTTTACATTTGGCCAGTTCTGCTTTTTAAACAGTTTTCCAAGCTGTTGACTCTTTTTTCCCTAATTCTCTTGCATCATTCTCATTTCTTTTCCCAATTTTTCTTCTATATCTCTTATAAGATTTTAAGCTACTTTCTGAGCTCTTCCATGAGGTCTTTTTAGGCTTGAGACCACTTCCCATTTTTCTTTGAGGTTTTGTCCACAGAGATGTTTTGACATTGTTGTCTTTTTCTGAGTTTGTGTCTTGGTCTTCCCTGTTACCATAATAACTTTCTATGATGAGATTCTTTTTTTTTTTTTGTTTTCTGGTCATCTTTTTTTTTTTAACCTTTTTCCTTTCTTTTAAATTTGAGCTCTGCCCCTAGTGCAGGGGCATTGTCTCAGGCTTCTTGCTCTAGTGGCTGCAGGCCCTGGTTGTTTGCCTGGTGCTGCACTGATGTTGGGCCAAGGCTCCCAGGCAACCCTCATGTCTGGTGTTGTGCTGAGGGCATGGGGTAGGGGTGGTTAGTGCCGCTAGAGGCCATTGGGGTCTGGCAACTTAGCTGGTGCTGAGCTGGGGTTCTAGTGGTGGTGTCTGGTGTGTACTGATGCCAGGTGTTGTGTTTCCGTGTTTCCCCTGTGGCTACACTGAACCACGTGGTGGTCAGGCCTCTGGAGGCTGCCTGTTGGCCTGTGGCTTTGCTGCAGTGCGGCAGGGTGGTGCTGACTGTCTGCTGCTTGTTTGCTTAGGCACAGGTAGGGTAGGCCTCCACCTGTTTGCTTGGGGCTGTGCTGAAGCAGGTGGCGGTTCTTGGAGCTAGAGTCTGCTGCTTCCCCTGGCTATGCTAAGGCAAGTGGAGGGTCCTGGTATTGGAGTTTGCCTGCTCCTCCATGCTGGGGCTCAGGATCTCCTGCTGGTTTGCTGAGTTGGGGCTTGCTACTGGCTTGCTGGGACACTTCCCGTCCTGGCCTGTACTCCCCTTTTACCGAAGTGAGATGGACTTTTCTTGCTGATCCTTCAGGTTTCTTGGACTAAAAGATTGCTTCACCTCATCTTTTTGCTTGTTCTGCTGTTCCAGGATTTCTTTTGGGGCTCTATTTTATGGTTGTTTGGAGGTAAATATGGAAGAATTGCAGCTGTTTACTGCTCACTCAGACATCTTGGCTCCTGGAACCAGAGTACAGGGATTCCATTTCCAAAAACTTCCTTTCTTTTTACTCATTTACTCCTCTCCTGCACAGACCTTAGGCCTCCTAGGGGCATCCTTGGCCATTGTTTAGGCTTGCTGGTCATCTGTAGACTCCTCTTGAAGGGTTATATTCATTTTCCAGTCAAATGTTTCCCTTTGTTCCTGGTTCTTGTGAACCCATGCACACTGAGCTCCTCCAAATAATCTGCAGATGCCTCTGTAGCAAAAGGTAATCTAGGTTTTCAGAACTTTGGCATCAGCTCAGATTAGCTCTTTGACTGTTCATACTTTTATTTCTCATCTTTTTTTTTCACAGAACATTTGCCTCCCCACAACTTATCTGTATCTGTTACAAGGGACACCACCTTCTTCTCAGTCATCCAGAGGGTCAGCTTCATGGCATTGAAGTCATTTTTGGCTCCTTTCCTTTCCCTCACTTCACTCATTAGTTGACAAGTCTTGTCATTTTCCCTGTATACATCTCACATTTGTCCTCTCCTTTCAACCTCCATTACAATTATTCTTGTTCAGCTCCTTTTTTTCTACTTATCCAACTGTTGTAATAACCTTCTAACCAGTCTTCCTTGGTTCAGTCTACCTCTACTGCCATATATCCCTCACACCACTGTTTGTGTAATTTTTCTTACTCACTACAGTGAGTGGTGCAGTGGAAAATGTACTGGCTTTAGAGCCAGAGGCCATGAACTCTGATGATTATTGCCTTTGTGGCGTTGGGCAAATCCACTAACCTCTCTGGCCTCAGTTTCTTCATCTGTCAAACAAGGTGGCTGGGCCAGGTGGTCTCTGGGAGCCTTTCCACATCTAGAGTTCTGATCCTATAAACATGTTGTTCCTCTGCTCCAGAACGTTTTGTGGTTCTCCATTCTTTATCAAGTGAAGTTGAAACAGCTTGTTCCTGGCATTGAGTGCCTTGCACATAAGAACAGGGACTGGATCTGTGATTTCACCGCTGTGAGGAACTGCCTGGGGAGGAAACCCTCTCTATAAAGCACGTTAGCACCTTCTGTGCAATTTTGAAACTTAGCCCTGAGAGTGATCTGTCTAGGGTCACACAATCAGAATAGATAAGAAGAAGGACCTGGGGCCAAGTCTTCCTGGTTTTGAGGCTGACTGTCCATCCTGTATGTCAGTGCTGCCTCTCACTGACTAACACACAGCAAGCACTTAAAAGTTCAGTTTCAGCCTTCCCCCACTCCCATCACCACACTGACCTCCTGTCTTTTCAACTTCAGTAACTTTTGTCTTTAGCCTACTTTAGACCCTCTTGCCCTCCGGATTTCCACTGAGTTCAGTGGAAACTACTCCAGGTGCCAGAGTTCCTAATTAAAACTCAACCTCAAGAATAACATAAGGTCTCTGATTTCTTCTTTTTGTCTGTAGGGACAGACATCATACCTTGAATTCTCACCCTTAATCCCACCCTGCCCACCTTTGTCTCCACCTTCACTTAGCTCCTTACCTTTCTTCTCTCTTCTGCCCAGTTTCCAATGAGCACTCTAGTTGAAAACGTTGGCTCAATTCTCCAACTGGGAGTAGACCATGATTGTGGGGATGCTGGAAGCATAGTAACAATTTGTAGCAAGTTTCCCAGACCCTGAGATCTGGGACAAAGTTAGCAACAGCATTAAACTGTACCACTTTCTTTTAATATCTGTGATGGCACCTAAGAGATTTCCTGTGGTTTTATTTTTTTCCACTTTCTTTCCTAAGAAGGGACCATGGATTAAAAATTCCCTGTGGTACCACTTCCTCTTTTAGAGGGAGAATCAAAAGTGGTATTACTTCTCTATTGTTTACTGTCTCCATGGCGACAGACTCTGACTATAGCTGAGTTGAACAAGAGAACTGCTGATTCCACTGGAGCAAACTAGGAGCTTGTTTCAATCTCCCTCCAGAATACAAGGCTCAGAAGGCCTGATTTCTGTATTGTAATGCTCATAACCATAAAAACCTCCTTGTTGAAGTGTATGGCTAGTGAAGATCTAAGATTATTGTAATGGATTCTATTAAAACTCTTCTTTGCCAGTTTGTCCTAGTTCTGAAATCCTAGGCTCTGCCCTTACCCTAAAGGTGTGCAAATAAAAGTCTTATCATGTGGTTTATTGGATAGAGTGCTGGAGCTGGAGTCAGAGGGACCTGAGTTAAAAGTCTACCTCCAGCATTTAGTAGCTTCCTGGCCATGAGCAAGTCACAGGTTTTTTTGGGTCTCACTTTTCCTCCTCTGAAAAATGGAGGCAATAATACTAGTAGCATCTGTTTTACAGGATTGTTATAAAGTTCAAATTATACGATGTATGCAAAGAGTTTTCAGGGCTATATAAATGTTGTCGGGTTAATCAGGGGAACTCTTGATTTGCTGAACCAGGGCACCCTCCATAGAGCTGGACTTTTCACTCTCTGGCTTTTTGTGGAGGGACCTGCACCTTGCTGAGTTGACACAGCAACTTATGATTAGGTCTTGGTGATTGGGGGATGTCTTAGAGGTGATTGGTGACTGAGCATCAGAGAGGATGGACTTTTATTTAGGAAGTCTAGAGAAGAGCTGAGGAAATTATTCTGCCCTTCCCTTTTGGGCTATTCTCCCTTAGCAATTCTTCTTCTCTTCCTTACACTTCCAGTAAAGGGAAGAGATGAATTTGCTATTCTCAGTGGCAATAGCAGATTAGATCCAGTACAAGCATTATGTTTCAGGTGTGCAGTATATTGCTGGGTTCTGCTTTCAGGTCTGTTCTATTACATTCCTATATTTTATGAGTGTCATTGTACCATTTACATTCTTAGTTACAATTGTTAATTATGGATTTCCCTCTATCATATCCTCTTATACTTTTTTTTCTTTTCTTCCATCAAACTCTTTTCAAAAACAAATAAAGTGGGGAGAGAACATTAGTGTGACCACTCCTAGTAATCTGTAATTAAGTGGTGTGATCCTGTTCCTCTTTCCACTTTCTCTTCATTTGGCCTGTATATCAGTCACTAGTTCTTACACTTTCTTCCTCTCCTTTTAATACTATATTTTTGATCCATCCTTCAAAGTTGAAGTTTGTTTTGGTTGTGACTATTCTATCCACTACACTACCATTCCCCCTTAAACCTTCTCTTCTCTTCCCTGTTGAATTTATTGCATTTCTAACCCAAACTCATGTGTGCGTATTTAACCCTCCTTTGTCTAGTTCAGGTAAGAATGACAATCATAATATGCTTGTTCTCCCTATCATTTCTTCCATATTTGTATGCTTTTATCACACACCTCAATTATGAGAAATAGTAAGTTCTGTTTCCTTCCTTTTCATTTGTTTTGCTAGTATATTTATCCTTCCCTTTTCTTTCCTCTCTTAAGACCAGAGAAACAGAACAATCACACCTAGGCTATGCATTTGTTTTTTGAATATCTTTTCTTTGTTTCTTTGTCTGTCTGTCTTTCTTTCTTTTTCTTTCTCTCTCTCTCCCTCTTTCTTTCTTTCTTTCTTTCTTTCTTTCTTTCTTTCTTTCTTTCTTTCTTTCTTTCTTTCTTTCTTGCCATAATTCACTTTTTAAAAAATTTAATTTATTTTTATTTTTCAACATTCACTTTCATAAGATTTTGAGTTCCAAATTTTCTCCCCATTTCTGTCCTCCCCCCCCCAAGACAGTGTGCAATCTGATATAGGCTCTGTATATACATACATATTGAACCTATTTTCACATTAGTCATTTTGTAAAGAAGAATTAGAACCAATGGGAGAAACCACATGAAAGAAGAAACAAACAAAAAATAAAAGAAAAAAAAGAGATCAAATAATGTGCTTTGATCTGCATTCAGACTCCATAGTTCTTTTTCCAGATGTGGACAGCATTTTTCAACATGAGTCCTTTGGAGCTGTCTTGGATCCTTGCATTGCTGAGAGGAGATGAGTCTGTCAAAGTTAGTCATTGCACATTGTGGCTGTTACTGTGTACAATATTCTCCTGGTTCTGTTCATTTCATTCAGCATCAGTTCACTGAAGTCTTTCCAGGTTTTTCTGAAGTCTGCCTGGTCATTATTTCTTATAGCACAATGGTATCTCATTACATTCATATATCACAACTTGTTCAGCCGTTCCCCAACCGATGGGTATCCCCTCAATTTCCAATTCTTGGCCACCACGGAAAGAGCTGCTATAGATATTTTTGTACATGTGAGTCCTTTTCCCATTTGTTTGATCTCTTTGGTATACAGACCTAGAAGTGATATTGCTGGGTCAAAGGATATGCACATTTTTGTAGCCCTTTGGGCGTAGTTACAAATTACTCTTCAGAATGGTTGGATGAGTTCACAACTCCACCAATTAGTGTTCCAATTTTCCCACATCTTCTCCAGCGTTTATCATTTTCCTGTTTTGTCATGTTACACTATCTGATAGGTGTGATGTGGTACCTCAGAGTTGTTTTGATTTGCATTTCTCTAATCAGTAGTGATTTAGAGCATTTTTTCATATGACTATAGATAGCTTTAATTTCTTCATCTGAAAACTGCCTGTTCATATCCTTTGATTATTCATCAGTTGAGGAATGACTTGTATTCTTATAAATTTGACTTAATTCTCTATGTATTTTAGAAATGAGGCCTTTATCAGAGATACTGGTTGTAAAAATTCTTTCCCACTTTTCTGCTTCCCTCCTAATCTTAGTTGCATTGGTTTTGTTTGTGCAAAAACTTTTCAATTTAATGTAATCAAAATTATCCATTTAGTCTTTCATAGTGTTCTCTATCTCTTGTTTGGTCATAAATTCTTCTGTTCTCCATAAATGTGACAGGTAAACTATTCCTTACTCTCCCAGTTTGCTTATAGTATCAGCCTTTATATCTAAATGATGTACCCATTTTGATTTTATTTTGGTATATGTGTAAGATGTTGGTCTATGCCTAGTTTCTGCCATACTCTTTTCTAGTTTTCCCAGCAGTTTTTGTCAAATGGTAAGTTCTTATCCCAGAAGCTAGAGTTTTTCAGTTTATCAAACAGTAGATTATAATAGTCATTGATTACTATGTCTTGTGTGCCTAACCTATTCCACTGATCTGCCACTCTATTTCTTAGCCAGTACCAAAGAGTTTTGATGATTGTTGCTTTATGACACAATTTAAGATCTGATATGGCTAGGCCAACTTCCCTTGCATTTCTTTTCATTAATTCTTTGATATTCTGGACCTTTTGTTCTTCCATATGAATTTTGAATTGCATATGAATATGAATTTTGTTGTTATCTTTTCTAGCTCTATATAATAATTTTTTGGTAGTTTGATTTGTATGGCACTGAATAAGTAAATTAATTTAGGTAGAATTGTCATTTTTATTGCATTAGCTCAGCTTACCCTTGAGCATCTGATGTTTTTCCAGTTATTTAGATATGACTTTATTTGTGTGAAAAGTGTTTTGTGATCGTGTTCATGTAGTTCCTGGGTTTGTCTTGGCAAGTAAACTCCCAAATATTTTATAATGTCTTCAGTAACTTTAAATGAAATTTCTCTTTCTATCTCTTGCTGCTGGATTTTGTTAGTAATATATAGAAATGCTGATGATATATGTGGGTTTATGTTATATCCTGCAACTTTCCTAAAGTTGTTTATTATTTCAAGTAGTTTTTTACTTGATTCTCTAGGATTCTGTAAGTATATCGTCATATCATCTGCAAAGAGTGATAGCTTTGTTTCTTCTTTGTCTATTCTAATTCATTCAATGTCTTTTTCTTCTCTTATTGCTAAAGCTAACATTTCTAGTACCATATGAAATAACAGTGGTGATAATGAACATCCTTGTTTCACCCCTGATCTTAATTGGAAATGCTTTTGGCTTGTCTTCATTACATACAATGCTTGCTAATGGTTTTAGGTTAATGCTACTTATCATTTTAAGGAAAACTCCATTTATTCCTATGCTCTCCAGTGTTTTTAATAAGAATGGGTGTTGTATTTTGTCAAATGCTTTTTCTGCATCTGTTGAGATAATCATATGGTTTCTGTATGTTTTGTTGTTGATGTGGTCAATTATGCTGATAGTTTTCCTAATATTGAATCAGTCCTGCATTCCTGGTATAAATCCTGCCTGCTCATAGTGTATTATTCTTGTGGTAAGTTGCTGTGATCTTTTTGCTAATATTTTATTTCAAAATTTTTGCATCTATATCCATTAGGGAAATTGGTCTATAATTTTATTTCTCTGTTCTGATTCTTCCTGGTTTAGGTATTAGTACCATATTTGTATCATAAAAAGAATTTGGTAGGACTCCTCTGCTTATTTTCCCAAATAGTCTATGTAGTATTGGAATTAATTGTTTTTTAAATGTTTGATAGAATTTGCTTGTAAATCCATCTGACCCTGGAATCTTTTTTCCTAGGGCATTCATTGATGGCTTGTTCAATTTCTTTTTCTTAAATGGGGTTATTTAAGTTCTGTTAATCTGGGCAATTTATATTTTTGTAAATATTCATCCATTTCACTAAGATTGTCACATTTATTGGCATACAGTTGGGCACAATAGTTCCTAATTGTTGTTTTAATTTCCTCTTTATTGATGGTAAATTCACCCTTTTCATTTTTGATACTGGTAATTTGATTTTCTTCTTTCTTTTTTAAAAAAATCAAATTAACCAAACGTTTATCTATTTTATTGGTTTTTTCATAAAACTACATCTTTGTTTTATTTATTAGATCAATGGTTTTCTTAATTTCAGATTTATTAAGCTCTCCTTTGGTTTTCAGACTTTCTAATTTGGTATTTAATTGGGGGATTTTAAATTTGTTATTTTTCTAGCTTTTTTAGTTGCA